TAGGGTTCTGTGCTCCTGCTGGTGGCCAGGGGCTCCACTTTCTCCTCAGCAAATCTGCTGCCATCCGGGGGCCCCCACTGCAGCTGGGAGGGACTCACGCTCCCCCTAGCAGCCCCAGAGACTGGGAGAGCCACTCTCCCCAGCCATCGGAAGCTCCGTGCTCCTCCTGGCGGCTCTACTGCTCGCCTCCCCCGGAGCTCTGCTCTCTTCCTCAGTCCTCTTGTCTGGCAGTGCTCCTAGGCCCAGCCAACCAGTTTACCCATGTGAGTTCTCCCACAAGGTCACCCCGATGATGCCAGACAAGGAGTGTTGTCAGACCAGGGAAGTAAGGATTACAGAGTTTCCACCTGTATCAGTAACTAGAGATGAACCTGAACCATAAAACTGGCATCCAGATCTGAACTCTCTCACAACACATTGGTTAATGGATTTAAAGGTGGCTACTCTTACAAAACAATTTCAGGAATCAACTGGAGAGAGAATCTGAGGAACTGGCCTTTATATGTAAATTTGATACTATCTCGCATGGCCTGAACAAAGATATGAACTGGATGGGCCATTATATTCAAAACCCAAATGACATCAAAAGCTAAGTATCAGGCACTTACAGCCTACTCTGTTAGCCTTATTCAGCACAGACACTTTGACAGGTATTTTTTCTTTCTTTCTTTCTCCTCCCCTTCTTCCCTCTTTTTCTGCTTTATATTTCAAACTCTGTGCAACCCTAGCTTTGTATTTGTCATATGAAGAAGTGGATTGTGCCCACAAAAGCTCATAATACTATTTATATATATTTTGTTAGTCTCTTAGGTGCTACAGGACTATTGTTATTTACATTTATTTAGTTGCAGACTAACACGGCTCCTCTGAGACAACTCAGGGTACACCTCCACTCTGGGGGTTTTCCGGGATACCGGTATCCCAGAAAAACTCCGCCTCATCCAGGGAACACGTTTGCTCTTCCACTTTTTTTTGCGCAAATGCTCTCTTTCGGAAGCCCTGTCTTCCTCATTCCATGAGGAAGAAGGGATCTTCCAAAAAAGGGGGATTTTCTGAAATTTGGCCCAGTGTAGACATGCCAAATTTCAGAAAAACCTCTTCCAAAAAAAAAAAAAAAATCAGCAAAAGCTGTGCAAAATGCGGAGCACATTTTGTGTAGCTTTTTCCGAAAAAAAGGTACAGTGTAGACCTAGACTCAGAGCTGTGAGTCTGCAGGGTTTCAGGCCTACCTACCTGCATTTATTTGGATGAGACTAAATCTGGCCCCTCTGTAGGTGCTCTGAGGATGTTCCTATGTTAACAGGAATTTTGCTATTGACTTCAGTGGAAGCAAAAAAAAAAACCACTGTATTGTTGGTGATGTAACTGCTTTGAGTCAATGAGAACCTAATAAAACTGAAATGTCCTTTTATAATTAGCCATAGCATTCTAGATCTTGTGTTATAACAGATGCTTGTATGCCTCAGGTACACAGTGAAGCATAAGGTGAAGCAGCATGTCTCCACTCATCCAAGATGGGCATGTGTCCACATCCTGAGATGTATTCTTATCATTGAGTACAAAGTTGGATTTACTTGTATAATGTCTGGCCTTGGCAAAAAGTGGAAAAGGAAAAGTGGCACATGCTACAAATGTTCATGTCCATAGAAATTCTATACAAAGTAAGACTATATTTTATTTTCACAGTTGGTTTTTCTGGAACTAAAAGCACTGATCTTATTTAAATAATCATACACTAGTCTAAATCCAAGCAATTTATTTTCTATGCATTTGAATTGGCTTAAGTATTCAATATAGGCTATTATGTAAATCAGTGTGATGATGTGTGTTTGATTTAAAGTTTGTCTTAAGATTTGACAATTCTGTCCTGCAACCTTGAAAGCCGCCCCACCCCCAGCAACAATAGTCAAGAGTGATGTTGTGTTCACCAAGTTCTTTTCATTTCACTGCACAGCAAGCAAATAAAGAAGACGTGTTTAATTCACATAAGACACTGTGGCTACAAAAACTCCATCAAGAAAGGGGTTAGGACAAGGAGGCAGAGTTGTCATCTAGTGTGCTGTGGCTCACCCAAAGAGTCAAGAGACTGTCCCTCAGTTTGTGAAAGCAGACACTGGGGTCTCTCCTTGGTAAGAAGAACAGGAGCGCAATTCTGGAGGGTAAAAGGAGAGGAATGGGAGGTCCTTCCACAGGGAGGGAATGTTGGAAAAGAGCAAGGAAGTGTGTAAGAAGAAAAAGGATTGTTGCCAGCTACCAAGAGTTCATAAAACCGTCTTGCTGAGGTGATCTAAAGGGACAGTGGGCTGCTTATCACAAACAGAAAAATTCATAGGTACCCTCTGGATTCCACCATACTTCTAAGTATATTTTGTTAGATGGTCTTTGACTTTCTCTTTTAGAAGAATCCCTTATGTGAAACTTCATTGGAAGCTGCAGGTTGCATGGGACATTTACATGGGTGTGAGTCTTGTAGATCTCCAGTTGCTGTACTTTTCCTGAAAACTGATTAATAGATAATGGGGTATGAAGAAATTGAATATACTGGTGCTGAAAAATGGGGCAAATATTGGGCAGCCCCGTATTCTTCGGGTATCTTAACCTTCGTGTGGGTCTAGATGAGTGTTTCATTTAGAGGGAGAAAGAAGAATGTAAAGATTGCCCTCTATGCTTTAATTGTGACTGCAAAAATCCCTTCAATTAATGTCTTTGCTGGGAAATCTAATGCAGCTGCTTGAGAGTCATCCTACTATGGGAAAGGGGGTAAATATTTAAATCAAAATGTGAATAGGCCCAAAACTTTGGCTGACTGCTAGGGCTAGGCCAAAGAGTGGAAAAACCTCCTTCTAGAGCTTTAAAGTTAAAATGTGAGTATGTTATCTGCACGTGACCCAGGGGAATGGAAAGACTTGTAGTCACTTGTCTCATTGTTAGACTGTGGCAGTTGTGTGGGAATATTTTTAAGTGTGAGGGTGCTGACAACCCCTTTGCATCTACCTTCCTCCCCCCATCCCACCCCAGCTGGGGGTGGGAGTAAAGCCCTGGCATACAGGGACAGCAGCCGTTCCCCAGGGGCAGGGCCTGGCAACAGCGTCTGCTGCACACAGGGAGGCAGCCAGGATCCTGGGGGTGATGCAGTACTCCCTGCAATCCTAGTTCCTGTGCCTACACTTGGCAGGTATTTCTAGAGCTGGTACATCAGGTACATCAGAGCTGGTACATGTTGTATAGATTTCTGGTAAATTTTCTTAGTAATCATGGAGAGAATTAGTAATGAGCAAAAGCCATACAGTTTCCATAATCTCTCTGAAAGCGGAAAACATTTTCTTGTCTCCAACAATTACCTTCTTGCTATCTAGTACATTCAGTGGAACTGGAGGCTACACAGACAGCTACCTCAAGAAGACCCAAGGTTTGATTTACTTTTTGGAATATAGTCTTTCATAAATTGCATATTGGAAAAAAAAATGGTTGAGAGAGGGCCTCTCATTTGGTGTTCTCTTTTCTGGAATGTGTAATGCAAGGATCTACATTTTGGGAAAGTGCCCAGTTTCAGATGTCTAAAGCCTCTGTTGAAAGCAGTGGAGACTATGTGCTGCCAAAGTTTTATGTATGTAACTGCAGATTGATTATCTAATGGCAGTAGTAGTCTTTGATCATGAGGATCTGGAGGGAGAAGTTTCAATAGAGCTCTCCCCCCCCCCCTTTTTTTTCTTCTTTTGCAACACTTAATTCTAATATTTTTATGTATTGCTTTTCCTGTGCTTACTGCAGGCTTTCACTGCTACCTCTGCTAGGAAAGTTCCTCCCCATATGTGCTCCCTTTCTTTTGTGTTGAGGAACACTGCAAGAGGAATTAGATGTAGAGGGTGCCAGGTTAAGCCACTGCTCCAACAGTTCTCTATTTTTTTACTTTGTGGGTGAGAGGAACAGATGAAGATAACTTCCTCTTTCCGCTATTTCTTATTAGTTAAAACATGAAGATTTTTCAGGTACAGAGCAGCCAAGAAAGAAGACTTGTTTAATGTACTGTAAAACTCCAATAGTCCGGCACTCCTGATAGTCTGGCATCAAAATGGCAAGAGCCTAGTGAATGAGCTTCGGTAAAAAAATGAGTCACAAGGTAACAGCGGCAGCAGCTGAACTGAGCAAAAAGGGTAAAAAAGGCTTAAAAAAACTAAAACATTACAGTATACTGTATACAGTATGTACAATAAAAAGGGTTAAGAACACTTTATATACAGTATATAATGTATACAGTATATATATATGACCATTTTATAGTACCTCCTGATAGTCCGGCATATCTGATAATCCGGCACCACCTAGGTCCCATAGGTTCTGGATTATCAGAAGTCTACTGTACATGACAGAGATTTGCTTTTGTTTTAAATATGCAAGTCAGAGTCATGTAAGAGAGGTATAGGCAATTTCTGTTCGATATTAGACACTTGATTCTGATGCCAGATTAAGATTTTAGCCAGATAAAATATGTGAAAATGTGCAAATTCTCAAGTGTCTGCCCAGAATCATGTGGACACCATTGAAAAATCACTTTTATTGCCATACGTTTTCATTTCAGATAAGCTTTCAAAATTCTGTATGGAATCAAAAAGATAGAACTCTCAGGAATACATCTTTTGTCAGTGTTTACCAGGCAGTTTCTTCTATTTTTAAGAGATTGGTGGATGTTGAGACAGATATAAATGGATGTATTGATATTTTTACATCTGCTAGCTAATATAGTGGGATGCCATCACACAAGGAATTATCTAGAAATGTAACTTCTGATGCCTTGGATACTATTTTATATAAGTGGCAAATTCTCATAGACTCATAGACTTTAAGGTCAGAAGGGACCATTATGATCATCTAGTCTGACCCCCTGCACAGTGCAGGTCACAGAATCTCACCCACACCCTCCTAGAATAATCCTCTCACCTATATCTCAGATATTGAAGCCTTCAAATACTTTGAAGACCCCAAGATGCAGAGAATCCTCCAGCTGTGATCTGTACCCCATGCTACAGAGGAAGGTGAAAAACCTCTACGTTTTAAATGCTTGTCCTACAAGTAGCATGTGTTTTATGTCTCTAACTATAGCATTGGGGAACTATCTTGGAGGCTTTCAGCTCTGCTAGAGGTTTGAGATCTGCCTTCCAGTTCAATAGCAACTGTTCAGCTGAGCATGCATCACAAGTAAAAGACCTCTCACTTGTGTTTGGATTTGTTTTCTGGGAAGAATCCATGGAATTATTTGATAATTATGGGACCCCTGGTGATCTTGAAGCCAATTAAGAATTGCTGGAATATTGTGCCAACAATAGAATTTGTAGTTCCTTAATCTTAAAGCTTACAAGCCAGTGATTCAAACAGTCTGTTATTTTGTTTAAGGTCTCAGCAATTGAGTCTTTCATGGATTTCACAGGTCCTCCATTAGCCTTTAGGAATTCACTCACCTGACCACGAGCGGCAAATCAGGCACTTCTGGGGAGGAGCGCAGGTAACAACCTTTTCCTCATTGCAACAATGAATCTGAACCAAAACTCCCTGATAAAGAGTCATCAAGGAAAATCAGATTAAACCTGGTTTCCCAGACAGCATAACATATGTGTGGACATTTGGGTATTTATTTGGATTTCTTTGCATATGAAAATTCATGAGAAATGTTTTCAACTGGCATTGGCAACAGCCAGATTTTAATGCTGTTTCTCTTCCTCTTGTTCTTGGGCAACAAGGAAGTGGTTAAGTGAAAGCTTCTCCTTTTCATTGAGAGAAAAATACCTCCTTAGAGGTGAACATAAAGAACGTCAGATTGCAAATAAGTGCCTTCAATAGGAAAGGACAAGAGAAAATTCCCTATAAGTGAATTCCCAGCTTCACAGAATAATAAAACCTCCATAAAAGATTGAATATAAAGTCATCCACAAATATGGTGGCAAAACACAATAAATCATTATGGGGAAAAATGTTTTATTGTCATGAATTAGGGTGACTTCTGCAAGCTTCACTTAGTTCTTATTTTACCTCTTCTGAGCTCATAAAAATAAAGGGTATATTTCATCCCATGGGCAATGTTAAGATACCTTTAGTTAAGCCCAGAAATATGTGCAGAATGTCCCCCATAACCAGGTTGGGCAGAGCACTGCGCACAGAAATAAATTTTAATTAACCCTTTCAAACCCTATCCCGTAACTGAAATCCTTCGTGACACATCCTGTTTCACTGAAGGCACCCCAGATGGCAACCGTCTGACTTCACAAATACCAGAAGTCTCCATGGAACCTATTAAATCCATGATGTTTGTGAAGTCTCCGAGTGATACATTCAGGGAATAGCTGGAATAAATGACAACAGAATGTCTGTACTGTTTTTTGTTTGTTTTATACTCCAACGTCATCTTTGTGGTGAGGTGACAGCCTATATAATAGTTGGTGAAATCTCTGGGAGGGATTCTGCCTCCCACTCTGCTTCCTGTGCATTGCTTCTTTAATGTATAAGAACTATAAATAGCCTTCCAGGGTCTGGGGAATAATTATATCAGTATAGGACACATGGTGAGGGAGGAACAGAAGGATGGGAGCATAGTTTACAATGCTAGTGCCATTCTGGCTTGTGCTGCAGGCAATGCAGAAGAGGCTGCCTTAACTGAGAATGGGTGCCTAGGACTGCCTAAAATGCAGTGAGGCATTTTGGTTTCTGTTGCAATCCATAATTAGGAGGGTACCTTGGTGACTTAACATCATCTTTGCCCCACCTATTCTCTGGATATGAGCGGCACGTCACAGAATCTGACACTGGTTCTGACCTGGAAAGGAAGATGAATTTGGTATGCACCAGAACTGTCTGTAACTGCCAACTGGGGGAACTTCTCCCTTAGGCAAAAAAATTTCCTTCTCTGGTGTGGAATCCAGCCATACCATGGATTCTTGTAAGCTGTGCAGTGTAAGGCTACGTCTACACTGCAGGCTTTTTGCACAAGAACAGTTTTGCAGAAGAGTTCTTGTGCAAAAAATCTTCCACAAGAGAGCATCTACACTGCCATGTGCTTTTGTGCAAGAGCATCCATGGCAGTGTGGACGCTCTCTTGCGCAAGAAAGCTCTTGATGGCCATTTTAACCATATGAGCTTCTTGCGCAACAAATTCATGTTGCCTGTCTACACTGCCCTCTTGTGGAGGAGCTCTTGCACAAGAGGGCTTATTCTTCATGGGGAGAGGAATAACTCTTCCGGAAGAAGCCCTGTTTTTCAACGCTATACTGTAAATTAACTTGCGCAAGAACGCGCGTGCAGTGTAGACAGCTGGCAAGTTTTGCGCAAGAACAGTTGTTCTTGCACAAGAAGCGTGCAATGTAGACACAGCCCAAGTGTTTGTGAGTCATTCTCCTTTCAGGTTCTGGAACCATTGGCAGGTAGTCTTCTTGTGAATTAAGTCATAGATGCAGCTGTTACATGCCCAAGGTAAAATCCAAACCAATGAGCTGCTTTGTCACTCCTGTTATTGAACTTAGGGTGCCCTTTACATTGCTTTATTGCGGTAGCCTTTGTGCCCAAGGTAAAATCCAAACCAGTGAGCTGCTTTGTCACCCCTGTTCTTGAACTTAGGGTGCCATTTACATTGCTTTATTGCGGTAGCCTTTGTGACTGTTGCCTATTGTGGGATACTGCTGAGAATGCCAAACTAAAGGCAGACTCAGAAGGGTCGCCATGTTAGTCTGTCCAACTAAAGGCAGACTCAGAAGGGTTGCCATGTTAGTCTGTAACTTTAAACACAGTACGCAGTCCTGTGGCACCTTAAAAATGAACAAATACATAATGGGATTTCTTGGGTAAAACTCACTTCATCCAATGAGATATCAGGACAGACTAAGAACACAGATGCACCCAAGGCCGATGGCTTTTTTCACAGTTGACTCTCCCAACCAGGAACAAAATAGTCGATTTGCCCAACCAGCACGACGATTAACAGGAAGCTAAACATTCTCCCTTAGGTAATCCAGCCTTTCTCACCACTGAGACACCTGATCTTTAATGAGAGGTTACTGAAAACCAGAGTAATCCTATACAAAGTTCTTCCAATCCCAAAGGATCATCCCCATCACCAGGATAATAGATACTCAGATCTTACCTGAGAATCATGCTAAAATGTAGAGGGTTTTTTCTTTTAACACCTGCACCTTTTCCTGCCAAATGAAGGCCACTTACAGGTAATGGCTCCTCAGCCTTTTTTTACAGCTGGTGAAGGCTTCAGCTTGCTCTTTGTCTTCAGGAACAAAGTGGGATGGCCATTCCCCAGACTTCTCTAGAAAACATATATTTAGTCTTGATCTGAGTGTGTTTGTAGCTGCACATATAACACTGCGCATGCATTTTGCCATATTATTAATCAGCAAATTGAGTTTTTAAATGATGTCTTACAAGGCATACTTTGTACAAAGATTATTACAATAGTGTGTAGGGTATAGCACTAGGATGGAAAATCCCTCAGGCAAGTTGGGGGAGATGTGAAACATTTGTGTTTTGGTCTGGTGCACCCATAATTTACAGATGTTTTATAAAATGTTCCGGTTGTGTACGTTTAAATAAACACGTTCTTTTTAGAAAAAGGAAACTTGGAAAAACAAAATCTGTCATGACTAGTCAGAACACATGTTCACAGGGGCCAACATCAGGATTTGAATACTAGATGTTTACCACTTGAAACTTTTATTTAGTTCAGTCCTTAGTAGAAGGCCTAATAATAACATGCAGATGGGATCACACAAGTGTTTGCTAGACAACAACCGCATTAGAACATACAGCTGATCCACAATCATATGGCACCATTGTTGAATCACTGGGGCTACGTCTAGACTGGCATGATTTTCCGGAAATGCTTTTAACAGAAAAGTTTTCTGTTAAAACATTTTCAGAAAAGAGCGTCTAGATTGGCACAGAGGCATTTACGCAAAAGCACTTTTTGCGGAAAAGTGTCCGTGGCCAATCTAGACGTGCTTTTGCGCAAAAAAGCCCCGATTGCCATTTTCGTGATCGGGGCTTTTTTTGCAGAAAACAAATCTCAGCTGTCTACACTGGCCCTTTTGCGCAAAAGTTTTGCGCAAAAGGGACTTGTGCCCGAACGGGAGTAGCATAGTATTTCTGCAAAAAGCACTGATTTCTTAGAGTAGGAAGTCAGTGCTTTTGCGGAAATTCAAGCGGCCAGTGTAGACAGCTGGCAAGTTTTTCCGGAAAAGCGGCTGATTTTCCGGAAAAACTGGTCAGTCTAGACACAGCCTGTGTGTATGTGATGCAGTGGTTAGAATGTGGATCCCTTAGTACATATTGTCTACAAGGGCTTGTACACTGGAGCAGCAAATTGTGTCAAATTGCTTGAGTTTCTGAGCTGTATGCTAAGCACTCCTGCCCTGTAGACATTCATACAGAGCTGATTCTTTTTTTAAAGACAAGCCCTCTTTTCCCCCCAGCACCCAGAGAATGTAAACCCGTGTTTGTAAATGTTCTTGAAGGAGAGACAGGAGAAAAAGGTGCTGCTGTCTCCTGCTCCTCGGATCCCAGCTCTGCATTGGCTGCTCTCTGACACCAGGGGGCGCGGGGTCCTTTGTTCTGAGCGAGCAACTGAAAGCTTGAGAGGAGAGTGAGGCAGCTGCGCTGCTCCCTGCGGGTCTTCCCCTTGCACTCAGCCTCCTGCTGGCAGGGGCCCGAGAACCAGGTGCACGTGGGGCGGCGGGGGAGCGGTTGTGGCTCCCGGGGGTGGGGCAGGGAGTTTCCTCCCAGGAGGCTGTCAAGGCTCCGCGCTGGGTTTGCTGGAAGACTCCAGAGCCGGGCGGGGACCTGGAGAGTCACGGTCAGACCGGTTGGAAGCAGCAGCACCGGCGCACCGCTGTTCGAAACCATGCAGCCCTCCTTTTCCAGGCCAACCATTAGCTGGGGGGGACTTTTAAGGACTCCCCTGGGGGAGTGTGCAGCCATCAGACGCGCCCCCCCCTCCCCCAGTAGGTGATGTCCCGCCATCCGAGATGGGCAGCCCTCCCATCCTGCCCCCCGTCCCGCCTCTGGTGTCGCTGGGGGCAGAGCGCTCATTGCCAAGCGATCAAGTAATCTGGTGGGCAGCCTGAGACCCCCCACCCCGCGCCAGCCGGGAGA